TGGTAAAAGAATAGCCCGAGAGTTGACTAACTGCCTTCCCTCTAGGGACGGCTAACGCAGATAGCCCTCGTGAAATTCAAAACAAACTAATACTACGTTGATTTCAATAGAACATCTCAGCGTGACTTGTAAACTTGTTAGACTTCTAAACATCTGTCACTGTGTGATATTATGCATTCTTTTTCGCATTCGAATGAAAGCACTTAATCGATTTTATTCTTAGTAATTGAACACGTAGTTCTTTAAAAATTAAAATACATAATTCAAACGTAACAATCTTTTATATATGTATATTACGTTTCAAAGCGTCTGAGCAGTTATAAGCCGTCAAAGCGGAACGGCTACGTGCTGCCATCTAGTGTTAATAATTACAATAATATACTTCGGAGAGATCAACATGTATGTATAAAAAATACTTTACAATCACCCAAATGAATTTTAATTCAGAATTATTCCAGGATGAAGCACTCTCTACTTAATGTCACAGTGGTTTGTATAGACAAAAATATTCAAATCTAAAAACAGTTTCAAAATGGTGTGTAACTTAACAATCATAAATATTGAATAATAATAATAACAAAATACCCCATCATGCATCTTGATTTAGATAACCACAGCCATGATTTTCAAAAGACCCACCCCCAAGTGACTCTTTTTCCTTGTCACAGAATGTTTACAAAAAGATGGGAAAATAATAACATTCACGTTTCGAACTAGACATCTCAACGGACTTAAAATAATCAAACTTGGAACTGAACATTTACAGGGGATTAAAATAATCAAACTTGGAACTGAACATTTACAGGGGATTAAAATAATCAAACTTGAAACTGAATATTTACAGGGGATTAAAATAATCAAACTTGAAACTGAACATTTACAGGGGATTAAGATTTTCAAACTTGAAACTGAACATTTACAGGGGATTAAAAAAATCAAACTTGGAACTGAACATTTACAGGGATTAATATATTCAAACTTGAAACTGGACATTTACAGGGGATTAAATAATCAAACTTGGAACTGAACATTTACAGGGGATTAATATATTCAAACTTGAAACTGAACATTTACAGGGGATTAAATAATCAAACTTGGAACTGAACATTTACAGGGGATTAAGATATATAAACAGGGGATTAAAATAATCAAACTTGGAAATGAACATTTACAAGGGATTAAAATAATCAAACTTGGAACTAAACATTTACAGGGGATTAAGATATTCAAACTTGAAACTGAACATTTACAGGGGATTAAGATATTCAAACTTGAAACTGAACATTTACAGGGGATTAAAATAATCAAACTTGAAACTGAACTTTTACAGGGGATTAAGATATTCAAACTTGAAACTGAACATTTACAGGGGATTAAAATAATCAAACTTGAAACTGAACATTTACAGGGGATTAAGATATTCAAACTTGAAACTGAACATCCCCGTGAACTTCGATATCCAAACTTAAAACAAAGACATTCCTACGGACTATAACATTTAAAGTTAAAATTGGAAATTTAAGTTGATCAAGATATTAAAACTGGGAATTACTAAGTGTGATGTTAAAATAATCAAACTTGGAAGTGGACATCCTCACGGATAGACGTTTCAAACTTGGAACTGGAAATTCTCAGGGATTAAAATATTCAAACATGGAACTGGAAATCCTCAATGATTAGAATAATCGAACTTGGAAGAGGACATTTCTGCGAACTGAAGCAGTGAAACTGGACATCCACAATGGATAAAACAATTAAACATGGAACTGAATTAAACTTTTACATTTTTTATTTCTTCTCTCATTTTCTATTGGAATTAATTTTGAACAAATGTCATTCATCTGAAATGTTAAAGTAGTCCGATCTCAATATTTTCGCTGTGGGACAGCGGTAAGTCTACAGACTTACAACGCTAAAATCCGGGGTTCGATTCCCCACAGTGAACACGCCAAATGGCCCAATGTGACTTTGCTCTAAGCTCTTAGCTAAGTATATAGTTTCAGGACTAACCTAAGTCTCCTGAAGGCCAAAGTTCAAACGGTATTATTGGGTTTACGGCCGAAAATATCGTCAACAGCGAGGATACCAACTGATGAAACAGTGCATTCTAGTTTTCAAATGTAAGAAATGTATATTTAATCATCTATACTCAGTACAGGGCCACGATATTCCTCATACCAGGAAAAGAAAGAGAGAGAGAGAAAGAGATTGTTCAGCTAATCCAGGTTCTGGTCTGTTTAGGTGACAAACTTTGAAGTTTTGTGTTCTTCTAATAATCTGAGCTTGAGCGTTTTTTGTATTTTACCAAACTGTAGTGGTTTAGTGTGTGACTATATAATAGATAACTAAATTCCTTGTTATTTAAATGTGCCTAGCAAACGTGTTATTAAATGTATAGTGACGTCATGACATGAGTTACTTTACTCGCTACCTCATTTGACAACAGCACACAGTATATATATATATATATATATATATATTAACTCATATATATACATATATATTAACTCATATATATATATATATATTAACTCATATATATATACATATATATTAACTCATATATATATATATATAATAACTTATATATATATACATATATACTTAACTCATATATATATATATACTTACTCTATATATACACATATATATATATATATACTTAACTACATATATAC